TAGCGGTTTAGGGTTTAGGGCTTTCGGGGTTTAGGGGTTTAGGATTTAGGGGGCTCCTCTATAGTTTCATATGGGGGGGTTTATGGTTTTGTAGGCTTCTGTTGGGTTTAGGGTTTAGGGTTTAGGGTTTGATAACGATGCATTACCGTGTCCGCAGGCCAAGTTCAACCCCTGACCCTTGAAATCCTCAACCCCCTGCCGTAAACCCAGATAACCCACCTGATGTACACTGTAGGCCTAAACCCCTAAACCCCAAATCCTTATAAACCCCTGAACCCTATAGACCCCTGAATCCTAAACCCGCTTGTATAACAAGGAAATCATACTTGAGAGAGCCTTCGTAGGGCTTAGTTATCCCTACACGCTGCGTTTCTCCTTGGTCCTCGCGGGTTCATGTTTCGGGCCTCTAAACACCAACCTTGTTGTGGTTGTCGGGCAACTTGAATCCCGAAAAGGCTCCTTTTTCGCAAAAGCCCCTTTTCGGCTTTGCCGAAATTAAATCACTTTCCTTCTTAGGTGGTGTCTGCATGTGAGAAGGGCGCTTCGTGGGAACGAGTGCTTGGGCTGCACGCAGCTGATGCCAAGTCTTGGGCTAGGGCTTCGGCCAAACCCTAAACCGCTAAACCCTAGCCCCTAAACTCCTAAACCCTTAACCCCTAAACCCCTGAAGCCCCTAAACCGCATTTCGTTGTCTTGTTGATGGATTTCGTGGATTTTTGTTTTTTTTTTTCCTTTCGGGCCTTAAAGGAATTTCAGCTTCAGTCTCGGCTTTAGATGTGAGGGTTGAGGGGCTGCTAGCCTGTATGGCCAAAACAGCTGTGTAGCAGAGCGGCTTTTTATTATATGGAAACCAGTTTTGTTATTTCCACTTTGACGATTCGTTGATTTTCGGGGCTCCACAAACCCTAAACCCTAAACTCAGGTTTTAGTGGGTTGCGGTTTGGGGTTCAGGGTTTAGAGTTGTTGAGTTCAGGCTTTTAGGGATCGGGTTTGGGGTGTCCGGTTTCGGGTGTAGGGGTCCAGAGTTTTAGGGGGTTCGAGAGTCGCACCACATCGGAAGCGAGCGTCCCGACGCGCTCAACTTGCTTCAGCAGAAGAGCCCCGACCGTTCTGAGCATCATCCGCCCTCAGCCTTAAACTAGGACCCAGAGTAGGCCCTTATTCCCTTTTTTAGGGTTCAGGTTCCCTTATAAAGTCCTTTAAGCCAAAAAGGGCACCCATTTTATTCCTAGGTTTCTCTTGGGTCTAGTAAATGAAATCCCCATTTCTCTGAGAAGGTTTGAGGGCTTCAGCCCTCAGCGGATGTGCCCATGACATATGGGTAGTTCTCTAGATTAGGGTCCCATTTGGGGTCCCTTCTACAAAGGGGACCCAAAAAGGGACCCTACTTTAGAGAACTACCCGTATATAAGCATATGAGGCGCGGCCCCCCTAAACCCAGAACCCTAAAACCCTAAACCCCCGGATTCTGATCAAGTTGGCCAGCCTAAAGCCTTCTTCAAGGGTCGCGCTTGCGGCGGCGAAGGGCTGAGGCCCCTTTAACTAGGTTCCCGAGTAGTACCCTTTTGCCCTTTTTTTATTTCTAGGGCCCCCTTACTAAAACGGAAGAGTAGGAAAAAGGGTACCCTTATTATAAAGAGGCTACTCAGGAACCAAGTTAAATTCATCCTCAAAGCCATGCTTTGAGGCGAGTCAGGCGTTCAAGGGTTCAGGATTCCGGCATTTAGGGTCTAAAGGTTTAGTTTAGGGTTTGAAGGTTTAGGGTTTGAGGGTTTAGGTTTTAGGGTTTGAGGGTTGAAGGTTTAGGGTTTAGGGCTTAGGGTTTGAAGGTTTAGGGTTTAGGGTTTAGGTTTCGAAGGCTTGTGCTGGGCCTACTCCTTAGGGTTGCTGGGACTGATAAACTCTGCACTATCTGCCCTGAATAAAACCCTGACCCTAAACCGTATAGCCTACGTCGTTTGGTCTTACCGCCGGTTCCCCCGGGAAGCGCCTATCATAGCCCATGGAGCGGCTTGAAACTTATTCTATTGGCCGAAGTTAGCAAACTTAGGCTTTCGGCTACCATAGCGTATACTATACATACGATCATGTTAAAAGTATGTTAGAGTCGCAGGAAAACCAGACGATTTTATTTGTTCCGGCTGTTGCAGCATCTATTACAGTAATTCCTGCAAGGAACCAGATCAGTTTCAAGAAGTTTCCGCAGTTCAAGAGGACTTCCGAGTCCTGAGCAGAAGAAGGAGTTCGGAAGATAGTCCTGGCCGGCTAAAGTGAGCTAACTGCGACCCAAAGACACTGCTAGATACAGTGAAACAAGGAGCTTAAGGATTGTTCCGGCTGGGACGCCGAATCTGGTACTTCAACTTCCAAACCTTACCCAGATCGTCCCTTTGTACCACCAGTATGGAATTGGGATGAATTGGGTCCCAACAGACCAGCCTAATGATAGGTTTAGGGACCTAATTCCGTCATAGTGGTACCCTCTAGGTTAGCATTTACTTGTACGTATATGCAGACACCTGAACCCAAAGCCCCAAACCCAAAATCCTAAACCCAAAATCCTGCACGCTAAACCCAAAACCCTCAAGCCAAAATCCTAAACCCAAAACCCTGAACCCCCCAACCTCGAAGGTTCGATCCTCTTGCTGCAGGCATTGAGCGTTCTCGCGGAGATGCAGAGCAGCCAGCTGCTATTCGGACGGTTTAGGGTTCGTGACAGAGTTACTGCGTTCAGGCTGTTGAAAGTCGTTGAAAGTATCGTCCCCAAAACTCCAACACCCTAAACCCCCGAACCCCCTAAACCCTAAACCCAAAACCGCCAAAACCTTAACCCGTTCCGTAATCTACGTTGAGGAGGCCTTGGGAGACTCTGGGTATGGTGCAGAGAGACGCCGGAATAATCGGCCATTGTATTGCTTGTAGTTCCTAGACATATCGGTGGTTGTCAACATGGTGGCCCTTTGTTGGGTCCGAATTTACTTTCACCACAAAAGGGACCATTCTGACGACCACCCATGTGTGTTGTGACATGTCCCGACACGCTTTTCGACTGAGGTGCTGAGTAAGTAACCTTTGGCCTTTTTTGGGGGTATATACCACTAACCGTAAAGTAAAGGATTAAGCCCGTTGGGCTAGGATACGCAGACCCTAAGTTGAGGCCTCTAGCATATAGAACCGTGTAGAGGTTCAGGGTTCAGGGTTAATCCCTAAACCCCAAACCCTGGATTTTAGCAGTCAGTGCTTCGGGGTTCAGGGATTATAGGTCTGAACTCACTGCGGTTTTCAGGGAGGTGCAGCTATTCTTTCCCCTCTGCAGGTGAGCATAGGTCTCAAGTTGTGCGGGTGCAGCCCGGAGGCATAGTTTCCGATGGTTGAAGATGAGCTTAGAGTCTAGGTTCGTTTCCGGATTGTCTTAGAGTATTCTACGGTTGATGATATAAATCCTGCATCACCCATCATAAGGACTATACCATAATTCCCATAGGTTTGGGGTCCTTAAGGTAATGCAGGATTTATATATCATCAGCAGTACCTCCATATAGGACCTTATGTCAGGAACCGCAGAAGGGCCAGAACATGAGACAGGGAGTTCCTCGATATAAGTTTTTCTGTACTACAATATGGGTTTAGGGTTTAGGGTTCATAGGGTTCATAGGGTTTAGGGTTCTAGGGTTTAGGGTCAGCAGGTTCTTCAGGCGTCGGGAATCTGGGCACGTGTACTTCCGGATCTCTAGGATAGCTGTTGGCCACGGGGCACTGGGTTTAGGGTTGAGGGGTTTACGGGGTTTAGGGCTTACCCAGGGGCTCCATGGTAGTTCCTTTTTGTGGCTCATATCTAGGATCCTATAAGGTAACCCCAAAAAGGAACTACTTTGGAGCCTATGGGTATTACTGGACTACAAGATGGGTAGTTGTCTAAAGTAGCCTTTTTAGGGTCCTTTTTATGAGGGTGCCGTTCTATATCGGGGACCCTAATTTAGAGAACTACCCATGTACCCCCCAAACCCTGTTGTAATATATCCTAACCATTAAGCCCACGGCTCAAAAAGTCCAAGGCGCACCGATGGTTACACTTGGTCCTCGGTTATCAGCGCTTGTGAGCGGACTCACGACTGGGTGCCTCTTCGCGGTTTTGGGGGTCTTCGGGTTTTGGGCGTAGGGCTCCAGGTCTTAAGCCCTCAATCCCCTAAACCCTAAACCCCAAACCCTAAGCCCTAAGCCCCAAACCATATTAGGGTTTAATGTTCCGAGTGTTTTCAGGTCAGGGTCCGGTTTTGGGGGGTTTTGGGTCTGTGGCCTGTGCTCTGCAAGCACTCACTATTCACTCGTCGGGGTGCATTGAAAAAACTCCGTGCTGTTGATGATATAAGACCTGCACTACCTTAAGGACCCTAAGCTATGGGGAATATGGTCTATTCCCGATTACGGGTCATGCAGGATTTATATCATCAACCGTAGTGCGCAAAAGGTTCCTGCCGAGAAGAGTGCAGCACATAGATTCGAAGAATGCCGGATCTTCTATAGACGGATGGTTTGGATTTGGGTTTAGAGTTTAGGGCTTAGGATTTCGGCTCTTCGTGTAAATTCAGACTGCTTCTTGTGAAGTCTCTTCATAGTCTTGCAGGGGGCTTCCTTAGCAGAGCCAAAGGAACCCCTTCCAAGCAGTAGGATTCTCATTGCAAGGACCCCGAACCCTCAACCCTAAACCCTAAACTGCCCTAAACCCTAAAACCCTAAACCCTAAACCCTAAACCGTGGCAAATTGCACGGAAAGTCTTTGCTTCAAGATGCCTTGTCGAACCCCCACGAAACCCCTACTGCAACCTTTCAAAAAAGCATCTTCAATTCCTAAACCCCCGAAACCCTAAACCCTAAACCTCAAACCCCAAAGCCCTAAACCCTAAACCCGAAACCCGAAACCGTAAACCCCTAAACCCCTAAACCCCTAAACCCTAAACCCCCAAAGCCCTAAAACCCCAAAGCCTTAAACCCAAAAGGTCATGGCCTTGGCGCTGCTGTCGGCCATGGGAACGCAGAAGATCCGACTGGACAATGGCTCGGGTTTCATGATGGTTCGGACTAGGGGTTTAGGGTTTAAGGATTTAGGGTTTAGGGTTTAGGGTTGAGGATTTAGGATTTAGGGATTAGGGTTTAGGGATTTAGGGATTTAGGGATTTAGGGTTTAGGGTTTAGGGTTGAGGATTTAGGATTTAGGGTGTAGGGTTTAGGGTTTAGGGGTTTAGGGTTTTAGGGTTTAGGGTTTCGGGATTAGGGTTCAGGTGTAACAAATCCCCGTGCCTGAAGCCCTAATGAAATAGGACCGCAAAGCTAAATCGCCACGTTACAACCCCAACCCCTGCACACAAAGCTGAAGCAACCCCTAAACCCTAAACCCAAAGCTCCTGAACCCTAAACCCTAAACCTAAACCTTTACCCTAAACCTTAGACCCTAGGCTCCTAAGCCCTGCCCTACCCTAAACCCTGAACCCCTGGAGGCCTGGGGGGCATGCAGCTTGTGGGGCCAATGTAGGGGCGATCTCACGGACTTTGACAGCAGGGTTTAGGGTGTAGGGTTTAG